GGATTCAGCGATTTGAAGCAGTCGTGTATATTAAAAGATATTTTATATACTGAACTGTTGAACAATAAAGATAACTCAATTCGCCATCCCTCGAAAGTTTTTTGGCCCATCTTGATGTTTTTAATAGTTAATGCCATTTAGGCATATTTGTCCTGATTTGCTTTACACCTTTCTTCACCGGCCATGCCTCAACCTCATATAATCTATACTCTTGAAAAGCGTAGTCTTTTTCCTTTCCAAGTAGCTGAATCACTTTCTAATCAGTACTACTGGCGCATTTTATTCTGTTTGTTGTTGAAAGCTGAACAATAGCGGAAAAAGAAGAGTTTTGCGGAGCGCTCAGAATATTCGTCAATTTTTCTCCGTCACGTGCATTTACGAAAATTTGTTAAAAATTTTAATGGATCCCACAGCCTCGAGCAAATTCGAACTAAACGTTAATTTTACGGTGTGCCTATACACTCCGTTTCTGTTATTTTTGCACTGTCATAATCGTCGTGTAAACAGAGCACTCCGGGGTGCAAGTATGAACAGTTGTACTTAATTTGTTTAATTTTTAGCCTTTGAACTCTACGAAAATAAATCCCACGTGTATTGATGGTAGGGTGAAGAAGCTGCAAGAAGGCACTGAAAAAAACTCTGGATTTCGTGAAGAATTTGAGGTAATCATTACTAATGAGTTTCGTTCCTGTTTATTTTTTTATTAGATGCTGCAACTGCACGAATGCAAACACCTTTACAGTCGCAAGGAAGGCCAAAAGCCTGAAAACCGTTTGAAAAACCGATACAAGAACATTCTTCCATGTAAGTTACTTTGCTTTTTCAGTCAGTCACGCACTTAGTTTCGATAACCCATGTCCTTTCGGATCACGGAGGTAGACGCATTAGACTGTGTCTCGGGCGTTCTTGATCTTGTGTGAGCGTTTAAGTATCAGCAAAAGAAAATCTGAATCTGCATTAGTGTCGAAGCACTTGTCCCGGGTACTATTGTCTTTTTTATTTGGCCTTCGGCCGGTCGGTTGGAAAAGTAGTAGCTTATTTGCCTAATTTTTTGAAAACATTTGCAGTAGGTGCCTAAACTATTGCAGCTGTGATTTCTCAATCTGGAGAGGCTGTGGTTGTACTTCTAGGAGATTTCTCGGATACTGGAACTCCGAATTTTGTCAAGACGCGTAAATCCTGCCATTCATCTAAGAAAATTCATTTCAGCCACTTTTACGCGACATCGAAGCTTTTCAGTCATGGCCCACGGCTTATGATGGTAGGCAATCATAGGAATGAAGATTCACTTGAATACAAAGTTTAGTCTTGGCTTTCAGACTCAGCCTTGATTGATTCTCAAAGTTTTGGTTATTCCTTTTCGCTGATCGCAATTTTTTCTTCCCATTTCTCATAGAGCCCCTAGGTACTTGACCTTCTCCACCTATTCTACTCCTCTGTTTATCTACATCGCAACGAGCGGAAGAATGAGAAAGGACTGCGCTATATTAAATTTATTTACTAATTTTATGTGCATTATAATTCTTACTCTTTGTAAATTTATTTTTAATTCACAGGCTTGATCTTGTGTGAGGAGATGGTTAGTTGTTAAGAGCATCCAGTTGTGTTGCGATAATCCAAAGAGCGCGCTTCACACTTCGCGATCATAGCATAGATAAAATATCGTATCGTATTACAGTTTCAGAAACCGTCATGGTTTTTGATGTGATAAAACAGCTCATTAATATGATGAGAATCTGATCTTTTCCTTTTTGGGAATCGTCCAATGGCAGCAGACGCACTGAAGTACAACACAGAACTTTAAAACGCTTTACTAGAACAGACGTTTTCTTTCGGAAATGTGACCATCGCCATGATGATGAAAGTTAAAATAATCTGTTAACTCGTTCTTGACATAACGAGCGTTGTTCCAACTAATTACGGTCACTGGCGATGGTTTGGAGTTGGGTCCGCATTTCCTCTGTTTATTCAAGCTAGCTCTTTGCTCTTTATCCGTTGTGTCCCGTAGTCTGTTTAGTTCGTCTGCACAGAGGTGACAACGTGACTTCATTATCTAGGGCCCCTGTGAGGATACGATAAGCAGGCAAGCGCAGTCATGGTGTTAAGTGATTTCCCCCACATGGCCGAACAGGCCATTTCTGCGTCTATCAACTATTGTGATAGAGAGTAGGTCAGTGAATTCGGCGATTATTGCCTTTCAAATGAAGTCGTGTCACTTGAAGTTCAGCTTTCGCTTCTAACTTTTTATAAGAAAGTTGGAAGGTTACTGATTCCTCAGTGTTTCGGGACCAACATCAAGAATATATAGAGCAATACCGGCCATTTGCGACACTGCTAGAAGTGTATTTTAATGCACTGCGGCGAGGAAAAAGGAAAGAAAGTTTGTCACCAATGGAATGTCATTCTTCCATCATTTTCATGATTAGGTCATTTTAACGCCCTTCAAATGGATGTTGCCTTGCTGATCTCCTTTTCTATGCCATCAAGCGGATATGTCTTTTTATTTTAAGGCATGATCTACAGACGTGTGGGCAAGCTTAGTTTATAGTCTCCTATTTCCTTCCCACATAGTCGTATTCATTTATTAACATCGGAAAGAACAAAGGCGAGTGACCCTGACCGAAGCTTGAACTCGACACTTATTGGGACCTTACTCAGCTCGACGTTCTACCGACAGATCAACCCCGTTCTGAAACAGCGCACTGTAACTTCTTTGCTCAGGGTAATTCTTGAATATGGCAAAGCTTGCCCTCGAGCGGAATCTAGCGCAGCACATCCGGGTAACTAACGCAGAACAGTTCAAAACGCGCTGCGGCAAAACAGCCATTGTAAAAGCGAGTAACATGGCATTCATGACAAAGACTGTAAAATTGTTTGAGTCCCAGACACGTCACAAGATCAGAGATGGTCAGTCTAATTATCTCATTCGTTTGCCTTTTGTAGATGACGATGACAATAACGGTAACGACAGTTATGTTGTCTTGATTAGTCGCAAGTCATCGGTCTATCAGAAAGCTTAAGATGCAGAACTGACGACTACTCGTTAGTAAAAAATTAATTCGGAATTAAATAACTAAACTAAATATTGATGGATTTGTAAATTTTAAATATGTTCGGACGATTTATTTGTTTTTAAACGCGTGGATTCGAAATATTTTTAGACGATCACACGCGAATCATCTTAGAAGATAATGAATCTTCTTCGCCTGGATTTTCTGATTATATAAATGCCAACTTAATTAAGGTGCGTATATTGTGATAAATGTGATATGTTCTTTTCAGATACACTGTTTAAGCCGTCTCCATATTTTACGTGGATTGATGTCACTTATACTTAGTTTGGTGTTATACCAAAATTCGAGAAAGGGACTTGTTTAGCTGAGCAAACATTTGAAATCTTGCAAGCTTAGAGGAAGCGGGGTTTTGCAGGGACGCAATCCGATGGTAATTTGCATCGCACTGTAAAGATTTCTGTTACATACTTCATGTCTACGTAAGATTTCTTTTATTAACTGCTAATTCTTTTGAGCAAAGAATTTAACAAAATTTAACACATCCTGCTTCGGTGCAACGAGATGGAAAACTGGGCGGGTTTTGACTTGCGAATAATATGGCAAA